ATGTTTGCTGTAAAGTGCACAATTTGTTGAAGAAAATTGCACACTTTAAAACTTGTTTTTATTATAATTTAAGACTTATTCTCGATATTCCAAAACTTTGCTGAAAATTAGCCTTTAGAGTCGGTGTGACTTCCCAGGGTAAATAAGTCCTCTTTTAAAGTTGTTGATGTAAAGCAATGCAAACACGGAACAGTTCACCACTATATCTCAGTCACGTGTCCCTTAACTGCATTGTAAAATATCAACATTCTTACAAACCGGTCGAGTGAAGCTATTTTACGTGTGTAGTGAGTCACTCAGAGACACTAAGAATAGGAGGCACTCTATGTATTATAGCCTTCACAGGTACAGGGAGTAACGACACTGGTCAGGACAGTTAACAGGCTGCCTGATCCCCTTCTTTGCCAGCCACCAGCACTCCGCGCCATTCCATGTCACGACACGTGTTACACTTAATCATGTGTCTGTGTACGTGTATGTGTGTGGTGTTGGAGAACGATAGTGGAGCGGTTAGCGCCGACGATCCGAGTTCGATTGCCACTCACGGCCACCAACACCCAGTGACGATTATCTGAACCGGTCCTGGACCAACACCCAGTGACGATTATCTGAACCAGTCCTGGACTTGCTCTAGGTCGACTCAGCCTCAAATGAATACCTGGTGCGATGTGCAAACATCGCCACTAGGGAGACAAAGGCGGTCGGGCGTGGTGCTGGCCACCTACCTCCTAATGTTCCGTACAGTACTGGCCTTAATAGGTGTGTGCTAACAGCACTTGCTCCCAGTCTGTCTTAGGCTATAATAGGGGAGCTTTGTATTTGTTCCAGAACACACACACATATACAGTGGTACCTCGGCATACGTCGTTAATTTGTTCCAGAAGGTAGTACTTATACCGAAAATGACGTATACCAAACGAATTTTTCCCCATAATAAATAAAGGGAAAGGAAATAATCCGTTCCAGAGTATAAGAAATTTTCTTTTATATGGCATATTATACATTAATGGGGTTGTATAAAATAATTTAGACACTACTTATTACTAAAATGCATACATAAATTCCAATAAATGCATATATAAATTTAAATTAATTGAAACAAAAATAAAATGTAACATCACTTTACCATGCTGAGAGGAGTTGATAGCCTACGAGGATGGTGGTAATAATAATAATAGTTCAATTTATAACGCGCGCAAATTTGCGGACGTAATGGCTGCAACTCAGAGGCGCCGAGCCGAGCTCAGAGTCGCTCAAAAGCATGATTATAGAGGTGAATTTTTAAGTCTCTCTTGAAGGAGGCGATTGAGGTGATGCTGCGAATGTGCTGAGGGATATCGTTCCAGACTGTTGGGGCTGCCACCGAGAAGCGGCGCATAGACATGACCATCCTGGATCTTGGTATCAAGAGGAGGTCGTGAGTCGCGCTGCGCAGGCATCTGCCGTGTGCTGAGCTGCAAGTTGTCAATAATGAAGAAAGGTACGGCGGGCAGGCGGATATGAAGGCATTGTGGCAGAGGCAGGCGATCTTGTATAGGACCCTACTGGCGATGGGTAGCCAGTTGAGAGCACGGAGACAGGCTAGTGAGTCGAGATGGGGATGAGTGTGGCCAATGACGACGCGTGCCAGGTTGTTTTGTAGTCTTTGAAGTTTATTTAGGTTGCCAGCGGAGGTCCGGACTAGGACGGAGTTGCAGTAGTCAAGGCGAGACCCAACTATGCAACATGCCAATGTGTTGGCAATTTCAGTAGAGATGAGTGGACGTAGGTGTCTGAGAGCCTTCAGGTGAAAGTTACATAAACTGATGATATGGTTGGTTTGACGGTCGAAGGATAAAGTTGAATCTAGGATGACACCGACATAGCTAAAGTGGTCGGTGAACTTGATACTGTGACTGAAGATGTGTATGTGTGTTGGGAGTGCTGATGAATTGAGACGTTGCTTGGTACCTAACATGATGGCCACTGACTTTTTCGGATTAAGGGCTAGGTTGTGTGCAGTGAACCATTGTTGCACGGCGGTGGTACATTCCGAGAGCCTCTCGAATCCAGATGCATTGCTAGAATCGATGGCAGTGAATAGAATAGTGTCATCCGCGTATGAGTGATGCTTAACACCGAAGCTTGCGATGAGCCGGACGATCGGGGAAGTGTAGGCTGTGAAGAGCAGGGGACCTAGTACAGAGCCCTGGGGAACCCCGCATGATGCTGTTGTTTCAGGCGATGTGGACATGCCCACCTGACTGAAGATTGCCGGTCAGAAAGGTACGAAACTATCCACTTGAGTGCTGAGCCACATATACCGAAGTCGGATTTCAGGAGGGAAGTAAGGAGCGAGTGGTTGATGGTGTCAAAGGCTGACGATATGTCCAGACTTACAAGTGCAACAGTTGAGCCGGAATCAATGCTCATTAAAATGTCATCGAGCACTCTAGTGAGTGCTGTTTCTGTGGAAGTTCTGACGGTAAGCTGACTGGAAGCAGCAGTAGTTTGCGGAGGAGGTGATGTGTGGTTTTAGCTGGGCGAGGACTAGTTGTTCAAGGAGTTTAGAGAGGTTCGAGAGGTTGGTGATGGGACGATAACTAGATGGGTCATCTGGGTCGAGACTTGGTTTCTTTAACAAGGGAGCAACCAGGCCAGGTTTGAGGTTGGACGGAAAACACCCCATGGAGAATGAGGCATTTGCGATGTTCCTGATCATGATGGCGAGTTCCGGAGCACATTGCTTGAACAAGGAACCTGGGAGCACGTCGAGTGGAGATGACTTCAATTGAAGTGATTCAATTAATGAGAAAACGTCTTTTGTAGACACCGGCTTTAGCGTAATTAGGAGAGTGTCTGGGTGAGTGCTTACAATTTCAGGTAACTTGAGCGGGGTACAATGGTGTGATGTGTGAGTATACGTGCACGAGTTTGCGACGGTGATTAGCTTGTTGGTGAAGTAAGTATTAAAAGAGGTGGCAAGTTTCAGTGAGGCAAGGGGATCGCTAAGGTGAGGGACCATGGTGCTACCAGGATGTAGAAGATCTTTGAGGGTTTTCCATAGAATGCACGGTTTTCCGGTTGCTTTTTTGATGCGTTCCTCAATGTAGGAGGAACGTGAGACTAGGATCAGTTTGTTAGTTTTCCTGCAGGCGACTCTGTAAGCAAGTCAATCAGCAGGTAGACCGCTGCGGGCTGCAATACTTTCAAGGCGCCTCCTGGTTCGCTTAGCAATGATCGCATCTCTTGAGAGCCAGTGAGTGTCGTGGGAAGAATGCCTAGTGGTTCGTGATTTTAATGGAGCTAGTTTGTCCAGCGCCGCCCTAATGTCAGCTTCTAGTTGGAGAGCGCAGACGGTTGGATCCGATGATGGGGATAACGTTGAAGGCGAATTTGCGAGGAGGTGGCGTAAAGCAGAAAACTCAATACCCTTGAAATTACGCGAGTTGCGGGTGAATTTGATGGTGATTGGCTTGGGAATTTGGAGGGAAAAAAGTATGAGGCGGTGGTCGGAGTAACCAGTTTGGAAAACTCCCAGTGCAGTGATGCGTCGATGCTGGTCAGGTTCCAGAACCAGGTCGAATCTGGCTCTCAACATTTGTTGAGGAAGCTCTGGTGGGGCCTGAGTTTGTGATGACCAGGTTATGGCAGGCCAAAGTTGACTCAAGGTGACTATCGATGGAGGCTAGGGTATTGCCGGGGCAATTAAAGTCACCAGTAAGTACGAGCCTGTGAGATGGGTTAGGAATCAGATATAGGAATTCTGAAAGCTCGTTTAAGAAGGTGTTGATGCTGCCATCTGGAGGGCGATAGATGGAAATGATGGAAATCACTCGTTGTTATTAGTGAGGGATACGGACTGGACCTCGAAGGTGGCGGGAGCCATCGGTAGATAGAGCTTTTAATTTTCAAGTGTGCGTTATAGATAGATCGTTTAGATAGATAGATCGTTTATTGTCATTGTCACCACCCCGCTGGTTAGTTGCACGAGGTTTATGAAGAACCTTATATCCTGAGGGCGCAACTTCCAGAGAGATGGCTGGCGGGGAGTCTTGCCTGCACCAGGTCTCAGTGAGAGACCTGGTGCAGCAAAAGGTCGATGTGGTGGTCCGAGATGGTGTCGTGAATCAGGGCTGATTTGTTGGTGATGGAGCGTGAATTGAGTAGGCCCAGGCAGATGTGTGAAGGTAGGTGAGAAGATCCGTGGAGGTGAGGCGTCGAGGGAATAGAGATGGCTGGTTCGAGGTCGACCTGTGAACGGCGGTCCCTGCCACCTCTGCAACCACGGTGCCGATGCAGTCTCCGACGTTGACCTCGGAGAAGCTCGAGGACAGAGAGCGTCCTCAGCAGCGCGGGTTCCAGGTGCAGGTGATAAAGAGATGGTGCATGTCGTAGCCCTATTATATCAGCCCATGCTGCACCGATGGTGCTGATAAAGGGGCCCGGATTCGGGTGGACTCCAATCAGCGGCTCTGCTGCCCTGAGCAGAAAGTCGAGGTGGCGTTGACCAAGCTCTACGCTGTCAGCAAGCAGGGGGGACAAACCTCGCAGAGCTCCCGTTCACTGGTGGTGCTGGGCAGCAGGCAAGCCAACTCTCTCGTGTTGAGGAGATGACAGTCTGCTTCACGTTCCCACTCGCTGATGGTGGTGGACATTTGATGGAGCACGTCGAGCTCCCACTTGCTGGTGGTGCTGAGGTACGCCAAGCTCACACTCACTGATAGTGCCGGAAGAGGTGCCTTGTGAGGACGTTGCTAGCATGAACCGTACCCAGGGCGGCTGTTAAGCCGCGCTGCATGAACAGTGCAGCCAGCGTCCTCCAGCCTCGTGAGTCGAAGCAGCAGGCCTCGTTTACCCGCACTGCCCCTCAGCTGTGCGATGCGGCAGTTAAGCCGGGTTGTGTGACACTGCAGCAGCCGGCATTGTTCACATGTTGTATCGCCGAGGGCGTGTGCAGTGAACACGGAGGCGGGCGGGGTTGGGTGCAGGGATCTGCCGCCACACAAAACTCGGGCGACGCCAAAGTAATAATGAACATAATAAAACAAAATAAATGATATGAAAAATGTAATGGAAGATGAAAGTATGAAGAGCGGTGGTGAGTGAAGAAGGACGTGGGTAAGGTACGAGGTGTGGTTACGGTCGATGAACTGTGAGAGCGATCCGGGACTGCAGCCAGCTGCGGCGCTGTCGCCATCTTGTTGAGGAAGGGGAGGAGTGAACCGGGTATACGCGGGTACGCGGTGACTATCCCGACCCATACAAGTTCTAGCAAGCGCGTCGTATCCCAAGCAAGACGTCGTATCCCAAGACATTTTTTTCTCGTCAAAACACGGCGTATATCAAATTCGACGTATTCCAAAGCGGTCGTATACCGAGGTATGACTGTATAGTCATCTCCTTCAAACCATGTACCTGGGTCTGTCCAGTGACCTTCTTGCCACTGAACCTTCGACACTTCACGTGGCACTCAATATGCACCTAGCCTGGCACAATCCATGCACAAGCCAGACTAGGTGCTAATGAGGCAGTATTGTCCGTGTGTTCTAGTCGTGGGACGGTGACCAGGAGATGTTAACTACCTCACTTGGTATACAGGAAGTCGTGGGCTCGATGCCAACCCTAAAGTCTGCTGTATATTTGGAGTTTGCATTTCTCTCTCCCAGTGGTCGCGTGGATTTTTCTGCGGGTCTTCCGGTTTTCCCCTCCGCGTTTAGATTAATGCGTTTACACAGTATTTGGCTACCGCTGTAAATGTCAACACAACGATAAGCCACTTCGTTGAGCTATCATTTGTGGCCAGGTCTCGTCTGAAAAAGATCTACATAACTCAGTGGGCCTTACCCGGTAAAAAGTGTGGTTTGCGTGTAACAGCAGATGTGGGAGCTGCATACTAGTACGGTCGTGTTTTGAGTGAATAATGCACTCATGGTGTCGTTTTCATAATACATTTTTGAACAGTTCACTATTTCATCACTTGCACTTTAAGGTCCCAAATATATAACTGCTCGACCCGAGATATGTGTGATGCCTTTTGGCATTCTCTTGTCTAAGACTGGTGGTGAGACAAGGCAATGCAGAAGGCTGTCTTTGGTGTAGGCCAATCACTTTCACAGACAATGCTTATATTTTCAGAACATGTTTTTTCGGTAAAGTCACGTAGGTAAAAAATACAATAAAATAAATGAAAACAATTAAATTAAATCACGACGTGTCGGGCGCAACACAAGTGTCCTTCTTCAGGTGTGGACAACGTAGCGAAAGCTCAACCGCTTAAGTGTGTGTGTGTGTTGCGCTCGAAACGTCGTGATAAAATTTAGTTGTTTTCATTTATATTATTTTTTTACCTACATGACTTTATCGAAACAAACAAAGAGTATGGATCCTTGCAGTCACGAAAGCTTCAAATCTAGAATCAGAACATGTTTGTTTGCATGTTTTCTACATGTATGTGTGGTGAATGCAGACTTGATGATACCTTGCAAAAGGTATCTATTTGGTGTTTAAACATCTTAACACAACTCCTGTTGTATTGCCCAGAAAGGGTAACAACCCATTCTTATTTCATGGAATCTCCTTTGCCAGTACCAAAATATAATAATTGGTTTTTCCCCTTTGTTTCTGGCAACAAAAATAAAGTTGTCTCTGGTGTGGACCAATCAGTTTCAGGGACAATGCATATATTATCAGAGTATGTTTTTTTGCATTCTGACCACAAGCATTGTGGTTAATGCAGACATGATTCTGTGTAAAAGAATTCAGTTTGGTGTTTTAACATCTTAACACCTGTTTTGTTGCCAGATAAAAGGTGGAAAAACCTATTATCAACCTATTCTGATTTTTCTTCGTTTTTTAAACTGACGCAAAAAGGTCGCATTAGGGGCGGTCCATAAATGACGTCACGAGATTTTGGACGATTTTTGACCACCCCCCCCCCTCGTCACACGGCGTCACAAAAAGTCAGACCCCCCCCCCCTCAAATATGACGTCACAAAGCTCTGCCCCCCCCCCAAATAAAATATGCTTCCAATCGCTTTAAACTATTGTCATTGTAGTGCGTACTTAATGTGGCGCTGCACTCTGATATTGTAGGAGAAAACATTTATAAAAAAAAGTATATTTAATTAAGTAGAACGTGTTGTCTATGTTAATTAAAAGTTGCGCATTTTTACGTGACGTCACATTTCTCAAACCCCCCCGCCTCGTCACACATCGTCACAAATGTGTGACACCCCCCCCCCCCCAGGTGCGTGACGTAATTTATGGACGGCCCTTAAGAGATATGACCAAGATCTGTATTTAAATGCCAAGTGTACACGAACAGTAACAGCCATTCAGCATTCAGTGTAACTTGATCTCAAATGAATGCGGACCCTCGGCGTTCTTTCGACACAGAGGCAAGAGAGGAAGAGGCACTTCCTCGTCTTCCTCAGTCCGACCTGGCAGTGCTGGTGGCTGTGCGCTTACACCCCCCCCCAATCTCTCGCTCTCGTGTGCGATGGCTGCTGCATCGAGTGAAGAAAGGGAACTGTCGTGCTCCATCTGTCTCGAGTTGTTCAACCTGCCCGTGGGGTTACCCTGCGGCCACACGTTCTGCAAGGCGTGCGTGGAGCGTCACTTCGCGGCGCAATCGGAGGTCGGCTTCACCTGTCCCGAGTGCCGCGAGGTTTTCTACCGGAAGCCGAGGCTCAACAAGAACGTCTTCATAGCCAACGTCGTGCACAAGTTCAAGGAGGCGAATGTGGGCAGGAGGTGCGACCGGCATGGCCATGGCCTCGACCTCTACTGCAGGACCGACGCGCGGTTGATGTGCGTGGAGTGCACGGACGCGCACGAGAAGCACGACATCGTGTCCGTGCGGAAGGAGCGCGCACACAAGTGGGTGAGTGGGAGCACCGCTGGTCCAATCGCGCAGCGACTCGAGGTTAACGCGAGCTTGTGGGAGACGTTTCGGGGGGGGGGGCGTCTCTTTTGCACGCGCCATGATCACCCTCAACTCTGGGTCCAACGTTTACCTGTTGAGGTGGAATTACTCGGGGGAGGGTGGGGGACGGGGATTGATGGGGGTAGGCGCAGTGGCTCTGTGAAGTCGGTCATCCGGATATGTTCAGGGTGAAGCTGGAACACGAGACGACGATGGTTAGTGGCAGAAACCGTGTGATTTTAAACAACTGTAGGCAATATATGTAAATAAAGATATTTTTCGTATCTCGTTGTTTAGAATGTCCGCATTTTTAACGTTGAGTATTAAATGTGATAATGGCGCTTTGAGTGGCAGATTTGTGTGAGAAATCGCCACCACGTGTGTAAGTTGTGTTCTGTGTTGCACCACACACGCACGGGGTATAGTTTATTAAGCGGTGGTGGTCGTGGGGGAGTTATCAGTAAGTAATGGGAGAGAAACATGCCCGATCAACATAGCAGATGCATAAAAATAGAATACAGCACACAGCTAATAGGGTCATGAGGAACACTGGGTGGCTAATTAAATAATAAATACATCTAGAGGAATTTAAGAGGGACCCCCTGCCCCCCCGGACGGGGCTACTGCTGCTGTGTGTAGAGGTCTCTGGGTGTTGTGGGCCGGGTTCCGTGCTGCGTTTTAGCTGCTTTTTGGTGTACGCAGTTTTTTTTTATTCGCGCTTTAATAACTTTATTTTACTGAATTATATAGCTCTTTTTCAGAAGCGACTTGGCCGTCGCAAATGGATAGCTCGGCCAAGTCGCTTAGCACGATGTGGAAAAGTAATAGCAGCAGCCAAATATTCTTTAGCACATTTTTCTAAATGTGGAGGGGAAAACCCCGAAGGACCCTGATAAAACTCCAAGCGACCATGGTGAGAGAGACACTGCAAACTCCAAATATACAGCAGGCATCAGGGTCGGGATCGAACCCACGACCTCCTGTATACCAGGCGAGATGTTTGTTGTCGCTCTGGCGAGCTGAGTAAACGGACCGAGCTGATAAAACGTGTACAAAAACAACAGCGTTAAAGTGACTTGCATTTTCCGTCGGAGTAACAGCCATCCAGTCTCAGCGGGCATATTGTGTGAAAGGTGATTCAACACGTAGCAGTAGCGGCTTTCCCGACCAATGTTATCCAGAGGTTTTTTCTTTTGTTTTGTTAAATATAAATGTGTCGTTAAATCTGCCACGATCACCCGACAAGCCAATCAGTAAGGTTTGGTACGTAAACAAAACGTGCCAATTCGTTACTAGTTCAGCACTAACTGCTTGTGCGTTGGAGAGTAAATCCACTACAACGTTTCCAATCCAGTACCCGTGTGACGTTTTGCCAGTAATTACAACTCGGCCTCATCAGGCGACAGCCAGAGTTGTGGATAAACCCTCATCTTGTTTCGGTGTTAAATAGAGGTGGGTAAATGTGATGTCGTCACTGTAAGAAAAGCAGGTGTGTAGACCAGAGGGGGTGGTGGGTTAACTGTGAGCAGCCAATAACAGGTATTGTGATTTAAAGCCAGTCGAGGGAGATATCGGGCATCATTAAAGTTCTGCCCCACTCATCAAAGTGCTTGCGGACTATGACGGAGCCGTCCCGCGATCGAACCCACGACCTCCTGCATTCCAGGCGAGGTAGTTAACATCTTGCCACCGTGGCGCCCTTTACATTGTAGGTGGTGAAGGCCTTGCCCACTGTCTTGGCATGATTGTCAAGGATGGCCACCAAACCACTGGCCAACGGGTGATAAAACGCTATTTCCACTATGATGTACTTGCTCCCCGCCCCGTTAGTGGCAGGATGTGGCCCCACCAGATTCTGGGCCCACCAGTTGATTCTGCTAAGGTCACCCATAGAGGTATCGGTCGCACTAGGGAGGTAGCACTGTGACTTGTATCCCCTACTGCTTGGCAGTCCAGGCACCCTTGAACCCCAGGCTGTCACATTTTCGGTGCATTTCGGCCAGCAGTTGGATCGCTGCTAGGGTGTACCTAATCTCTCCAAGGCTGTCATGTCCGCTGGTCAAGTTGAGCTGCATCTGGGCTGGCACGTACACACACTTGTCCACTCCATCTTCCTGAGCCCTCTCGTGCATGAACGTGGAAGTAAATAGTCGACGTCATGGCAGAGTGGGTGGGTGAGTTAGGAAGAGAGTTGTCGTTTCCTGCACAGTTTGGTAGAGAGAAAACAGTCAGTTTGATAGGCAGGGTACTAAACATGGGCAGATGTATCAATTAGTGAGGTTTATGTGAACAGTAACCGTGTAGTAGCCACAGAAGTTTGATGAGTAGCTGACTGTCCACCAGTGAGTAACTGAAGTGATTGAATGATTGATAGGTCATCAATCAACCAAACTACTTTACCTTGAAGCACAGTAAGGTAATAACTGGTGATCTATTGGTGTGCTTCAACCCAGATACAGTCAGTTCTGCTATAACACTGCATGTTTTCATAACGCGAATTGGATACAACGCGATGAATGTATTAGGGAACACATTTTTTTAACGCGGATGCGAATTAGATATAACGCGCGGATTTCGGAATAATCGGTTGTGTGGTTGCCTCGGCGTACCATCACACAAGGAATTGTAATGCTGCTAGATGCTTTTAGATTCTACCCACACGCCTCAGTTTTTGTTCAGCCTGCGTATGCATCTCACGTGTTATCGCGGACTGTGCGTTACCCTGCATTATATAGACTTCATTATAACGCGATCATTACATAATGCGGTGTTCTTCAGGAACGCAACTACTACCGCAAGTATAGGGACATGGACTGTTTTTTATATAGATTGGTTAACTGTGGTTGTGTATAACCTTGTGATGTAAAATACTATAGTTTAATGGTAATAATTAATTTTCATCATCATCATCATAGACGGCTGTGTGTGATGTTTTTTATTGTGGAGAATCTGTTGCACAGCAGCTTCCACACAGTTCTTCACAGAACGGAACCATGAATCCAACGAGACGGAGATGATTGGAGATCTCGCTATGCTGCAGCCTTCTGTTGTTTACATTAGGTCTGGAAAAAATAATAAAATTTAATGCAAATAAAAAAAAGTGTAATTTCCAAAATTATGCTAATTTGTTGTCTAGGGGTGTAACCAATCATGATAATAAAATTATTCTCGCTTTAACGTTTACTGATTATGTTTTAGTGTGTTTTATGTCAGGTCTCAAAATTCAGATCTCACCATAGGATATAGTTCTTATAATTAAGATCATTACGCATTAACTTAGGAAGGGACACTCAGACTCTTCTGCATGAAAAAACTTAAATATCTAAAAACAAAACACTGTAATATGAGAACTCTTATGCTAGGAATTGTCAACACAGTACTCCTGGAGATGTTCTACTCATTGATCCGTAAAATTAACCCTCAATGGTTACGTTTGTTAACTGGATAACAGAACAATCGGCTAATTCCTCAGAGTAAAGCGACCATACACGACAATAGGAAAAATTCCTAAAAGAATCTGTGACATACAAACAGTAGTAAAGAAACATGTGCCCAAGGAAAAAGTAGTTTTCAATGAATTCATTGGTAAGATTATGCAATTAACGAAATGCCCTGGAACAATAGTGTGCAGCAGTGTGCCTGTTCGCCTAATAGATGCTTATGAACTGGCTAATGGGCTTGAATTGATTCGCGGGCAAGATTCCGTGATCAAACGAAAGAAATCTCAACACAATAGTATTCCTGTAAGTGTGTAGATTCGTAACATCGATGCTTATAAAGGTTTAGCGTCAATTAATTAATTGCTAAAGCTATGCAATTAACGAACTGAATGACTACAATACTTCTAAACGACCATATTCATGCAGCTCAATAGACCGAACAATGTTTTCCACGATCAGCTAATAGTTAACTAACCACCTTAGGATGGTCCTTTTCGAAACACAAAGATACATTTTGGAGCAATCGTTTTAGTCTCGATGTGTGTTATGTGTGTGTGGGTGTATTGTCTTCGTACTCAACTCTTTGAGTTAAGCGGGCGCCAAGGTGGGGCTTTCCTTGTGCCGATAATTCCTGCTGGGCGATGAGTTGTGTGTGTGTGTGGGCATGCTATACACACGGCGCTCTCTCGCTCTCTCTCTCTCTTGGTGGCAGCTCCAGGCTTCTCCACTGCTGGATGATTGCTGAGTCGGCACGATGATTGCCTTCGGCGGTGTCCGATAGCACTCGCAGCTCGTCCGCTGGTCGCCAGCGCTGACACTCTTTCTCGGTTGCGCTGGTCACGCTCTTTTCTCCACTGCTAGGTGATTGTTGAGTCGGCAAGATGCTCGCTTTCGGCGGTGCCCGATAACGCTCACAGCTCGTCCGCTGGTCGCCAGCGCTGACACTCTTTCTTGGTTGCGCCGGTCACGCTCTCTCCCTTGCACCAGGCACGGTTGATCCTTGTAGACTCGACCTTTGCAGGAGTGTTCTCGGCTTCCGAGTCCATATGCTCGTGATTAGTCATTAGCCGCTGCTGCTGGTCCTGTGCGATGCTCGCTTGGTCAATACTTTGCGCTTTCCGCCCTTTCTCCTGGCTGATAGCTTGTCGTTGCTCGTCACTCTTTCTCTTTCTCCACCTGTTGGTGGGAGCTGGAACTCAATGTAGAATAAAACTTTTAGCGATGCTTCGTCTGTCAGCGCCGAACTCACACTGGGTGACACATCGCTACTCTGCAAGCCTCGTCATCCATGGTCGATTGCGGGGCCCACCCCCGGAGCTTGCCGCAGCAAGACTGATGTGCGTGATTGCTGCTCGTCGTTATATAAAAAAATCTCCCACCTCGGCTCGTCTCCTCACAAGGGACCGGAATTCCCTTTATTTGCTCTGAGCCTGTGGGAACAGCTGTTCAGTTGCCCCTCAGAGTCGAGCGACTGGTTTTACGACCTTCCACAATTATTAATCTGAAAGGGGGGGGGGGTCCTTTTGGCCGTTGTCCGGCTGCGTTCCCCCCCTCTTCCCTCATGGTTCGGGGTGTAAAATTTTCTTGTTGTCTCTCTGGCCTTTGAAGTCGTTGGGCTTTCCCCAGACTCTCATTATCCCCCCCTTGCACCGGGTTTTTTCATAATTACATTTTATGTCTATTTCCTCCAGCTGCCTTTTGTGTGGCGAGGCAGGAGGCAAGGGGGGGGGACCCCTTTTCGCGCCCCTGCACTATACCCCGATAAATTATTACAACAACAAAAAAATATTGGCAGAATCACTCAATATATTTTTTTGGAAAAGGGCAAATATACAACACTTCGTTCGACTTCACAGCCGTTGAGATCTTAACATCTTCTGCCTGCTCTGCCCTTGAGAACGACAGTGATGTTTAAACAATCGAGTAATCAAGAAAGGTATAGTTGAATTTTGAGCGGGAGCTGATCCGGTGCCATTGCAGGGGCAGCTGAGCTCAGTTAAAGATCGACTGAGCGAGAGAGAGGAGACAGCAACTTCGTTCGTGAGCAGCCTCCAGGACTCGACCGACAGAGTGGAGGTGCGTAGGTCACCGTGCAACTCACAAATAAACCCCCAAAACTTTCTTACGAACAACATTGCCGGTGAAAGTCTGCTACGTGTTATATTAAAGCCACGTAGTCCCCATTGTTTTCAGAAATCAACGATTTTACAGCCGCCGTGATACTCAAAACTCTGCTACTATCACCACTACCGCAGGCAGCAGCAGAGCAGATAAAGGAGAGGCTGAGCGGCAGCTACGACGAGCTCCTGCGCCTCATCTCCGAGGACAAGGAGTCGGCGCTGCGGGCCGTGGATAAGGAGCGCGACCTCAAGCTCTTGGGGATCTGCCGGGAGATTGAGAATAGCCGGACGACTCTGGGCGGCCTGACAGAAGCGCTCGGCAGAATCCGCAGCCTGGAGGAGACCGAGGACCCCGTGGAGTTTCTCGAGGTGCTGCCACGCGCGCGAGCTGCGGACAAACTTGCGTCTGGATCATTCAGCCACGTTAGCTGTGTGTCTGTGTGTATGATGTATGTGTATATAGTGGGAGCGGTAGCGTAGCGGTTAGCACGCTGTGCTACAAACCCGGCGAGCCGAGTTCAATTCCGGCTCACGACCAACACCAGTGACGATTATATGAACCGGTCCTGGGCCTAGTGTGATATGTAAACATCACCACTCGGGAAACAAAGGGCGTGATGCTGGGCACCACCCCCCCCCTTGTTTGCCGTGCTGGACTTCATAGGTGCTCACTAGCAGCACTTGCCCTAACAGTCTGTTAAAGGCAATATGGGATATCTTTTGTTGTATGTGTGTATGCTAGATATATGTGTGTGCGTCTGTGTTTCCTATATACTCTGCCTGTATCTGTGTGCTGTCTGCGTAATCTGGACACAGTTCCATCAGTGAACTCATCCAGCAGGCAAGGCAGCGTTGGCTGGACCATGTATTCTGTATACCCAGCCTGCTAGCTAGCGGAAGGAAGAGGCGGGTGCTCTAAGGTCCCATTCATAAGCCATGGTCTACGCCGTAAAGCGGGAATCTGTGCTGGCCCCCACCCTCTTCACTCTTTTCCTTGCAGCAGTGCTCACAACCGTGAGTGTAAATCTTAGCGCCGGTATCTATATACGAACCTGGAGCGACGGCAAGCCATTTAATCTGGCTTGGCTACATGCTAACACCAAATTGAGAGAACAGTGTGCGTCCGAGAACTTATTTTTTTTCCGATGACACGGCCTTAGTTGCTCACAGCCGGAGTGACATTTAAGAAACCGCCAACCATTTTGCTGCATCAGCAAACCAATTTGGGCCAAAGATCAACACAAGTAAGACTGATATGTTGTTACAACCAGCAAAATTAACAAAATATAACCAATGATCACTCAGAAATATTTGTCAATGGTGAAGCTCTCAGAGATGTGTGAACTCGTTCACTTACCTGGGAAACACCGTGTCTAATAACAACTCTATAGACACTAAGATCTTATGGTGCCTTGAAGGTGTATCTAAGGCATTCAGTAGCCTTAATAAGCGATTTTGGTCCCAGCATGGTAACAAATTGTCCACCAAAGTAAATGTCTGTTGATATGTAAACTCTTTTGTCAAGGCGCTCTGCTCCACCCACCCAGCTTAAACATACGCTGCCAAGCTTAGCGGTGTTCATTAGGACGCTGTCTTTCCGACAGCTCTGTTCTTTACCTGAGGACGGCTGCTTGTGTTATGGCCGAAACGTCGTGAGAATTTTATTTTATTATGTTTTATTTTGATTATTTTATTATTTCCATTCTACGTGAATTTACCAAAAGAACCAAGAATATCTAACAGAGCAGTTAGTAATTCATTCAATGTACTTTACTCTGCAGAAACATTGACACTATACAGACGACACCTGAACAAACTGACGAGCCTACAGCTGAAACATTTGAGACAAATCGCGAGGAACGAGTGGCAAGACCTGAATTCTGAGCACCGAGGTGCTGGCGAGAGCTGAGATTCCCAGTGTAGATAGGCAAAAGTAACGTGCTCTCGGTTGAGATGGTCAGAGCACGGAACTTGAATATGCCAGATCAGGTTCTTAAGTTTTTTCCTTATAGTAAACTCGAACAGGGCTAAAGTGTGATAATTGGTTCTTTACCCTTCTATCTGGCAACAAAACTGACACCTTTTTGCAAGGAGTCATGTTTGCATAGACCGCAATACCTGCAGTCATAAATACAAACAAAAGAACATAACTCTTGTATTTATGACTGCAGGTAGAACAGTTGGCAGGCTGTCTAGCTAGCGGCGCCCAGTGATGGTGAAGATGGCGGCGACGATGGTGGCGAAACAGCAGCAAGGCGAGGGGATCCACTTCCAGCAGCAGCTCTGAGCTCTCACTCTGGGCTCCCTCTTATGCTCCCAGCATGGCCTTGCTCCGCCCTGGCCACGCCCCCCTTCCGGAACCTATTAGCAGGTTCCTGGGCTTCCAGGTGAACCCCTTCATGAACTCTCCCTAAGATGTCCCGTATAAACTGTCGCCTGCTGACATGTGTACTGCTGTACACTGCAGGTACCACTTTCGGACTTTTCGTCAGCAGCTATTACTGTACACCACTCTCACACATGCACCGAATGAGACTTTAAGGGGCATGTATCGACACCCCTTGCATTGACGATTTGTGTTGTGCATTAACTCTTTATTTTACGTTTTGTGTGTCTGTGTGACAGGGCTACACTCTCCAATGGGAAAGGTATGTCAGTTCACCTCCTCAGTCACGTTCCGATCTCTCACCCATGCAATGGATACTCATTATTGACCTACGCATGATTTTCAATTTTCTCGTTCTCATCCTCTTTGCTTCACCATCACCACCGCACTTGGTGCTCATCATCTCACCGCAGCTTCGTGAACCTGGCAAGTGAGCCAATGGAGGAGACACCGTCTAGCGCTTCGCTCGACTTCGAGATGCCAACTCCACTGCAGGAGCAGATAGACGAGCTCCTGAGCGCATTCAGAACCTTCAGAGGCGAGGACCCTACATCAGCAGACCAGCCCAAACCCAAGACTCCTGAGGGGAATACAGCTCAAGTGCAGCGGAGGTCACCTCCAGTTAGTTTGCGGGAGATGGCAGCTCCACATGAAGTTCAAGCAGCTGGAGCATCTGCACAACCCACAGCCTCTCTGCACGGCCTCAGCAGAGCTGACATCATCATGAGAAGTTAGTTGCGCTGCGTACACAATGTTGTTGTTAGCTTGGCTCGAGTGAACGGCCAAAACGTTAACTCCAAAAAGAAGATTGTTACTGCAACTTAACCAGGAGTCGAAAATAACCCGAAAACCAGCACTGGAAATCAGTAAAAGCTGGTTATTTAACTTGGACTGAATTTAAACCTAAATTAAAGTGAACGTGTCAAAAAGCTTTCACGACCAATGTGACGATGTATCATTGGTGTTTGGGTGAGACAGCGTAGGTAAAATACATTGTCATTAACCCTTATCCACCCTACACAGCCAATTATAAAATTGTCACGTGATGAAAATAATACTTGGTAATGTATTACTGCTAGGAGAGCAATCCACAACATCTCACCATTCAGTCCAACGTTTCGCTGGTAATTTTGAAAAGAAATAGGTGGTACGCTATCCGGGAATAATACTATTATTAAACTATTTTTATTTTACCAGGTAAGGCCCACTGAGCTATAAAGAGCTATTTTTCAGAAGCAACTTGGCTATCAAAAATGATAGCCCAATGAAAAGTGGCTAATTATGTGGACATTTATAGCAGTATCCAAATACTCTAAATGCGCAATTTTTATTCTAAATGTGGAGCAAAACTCGGAGGACCCGGAGGAAAATCCACCAACCATGGGGAGAGAGGGACATACAAACTCTTAACATATATGCATTAGGGTCAGAATCGAACCCACAACCTCCTGCATACCAGAGTAACTCGCCACGGAGGTGTTAAGATGTTCAAACAGCAAATAAACAGACCTATTGCAAGGAATCATCAAGTTTGCATTCACCACATTTCATGATTGTGGTAAAACATGCCAAAAAAACTTGCTCTGATAACACTAATGTATGCTTTACCCTTGGAACTGATTGTCCTACACCAGAGATGCAGCCTCCTCTATGGCCTTGTCTCACCACCGGTGTTAGACCAATGCCAAAAGGCAAACAACACAAAGGCAATGCCAATATTAAAGCATTGATAGCTCAGATTGAGCAGTTTAACCTATGTAAACCTTTGTTACCGGTATCACAATGATAAAAATAATCGTACTAAACAATAGGCTTTATCATTTCTCGGCAATAATACAGGAGGTGTTAAGATGTTCAAAAACCAAATAGACACACTTGTTGCAAGGAATCAGAGACAATGCGTACATTATCAAAGCATATTTGTTTGAATGTTTTATCACAAGTGTGTGTAGGTTAATGCAGACTTGATACCTTGAGATAATCATTGTCTATTTGGTGTTAGAACATCGTAATACCTCCTGTTTTATTTCTAGAAAGGGTAAAACCTATTCATATTTTTTCATCATCTTGGATACTGGCAAAAAGGTATCCCATGGATATAAGTACTCAATCCAAGCTATAAGTGATCTGATACTTGCGATGCCTTTGTACTGTTCGCCTTTTGGCAATCTCTTGTCTAAGACTAGTGGTGAGACAAGGCCATAAATAAGGCTGTCTTTGGTGTCGGCCAATCAGTTTCAAAAACAATGCATGCTACCTGACGTAACACAATTTTTGTTCCTGGGTAGTAAGTATTATTTCCTAATTGCTTATTCGTAAAAAGTATAGAAAATTGCTATTATTCCCCACAAACTTTGCTTTGGTGACCTGGATATTTATATTTTGAAATGTACCTATTTTCAATGATAAAACGGGCGAATTTGTGTCTTTTCGTTCACATGAAGTCAGAAAAAAACAACATGAATCAAAATTAACATCTATTTATATTATAGTAACACAAAAATGGACTCGACCTTTATGGGATGCGTAGTGGCCAGGCTCCGCCCTTGGCCACGCCCTTTTCAGATCCTTCCCGAAGACTCTGGCCCCTGCATCACATGTCCCTCTCCCCTCCTTTTGGGCCCCCCTTGCCACCTCGTCCGGTCACGTGCCCTCTCCTAGTCACCAGGACTATGCCCCCGAGGGCCCGCTTCCATGGCATACCCACTCTGGTGCCAGAGAGAGGCCCAAGACACACAGCTCCACTCTTGTGACGATAGCTGGCGCTAAATACCATAGTGACTCCATTTACGTCACTACACTAGTGAGCTTCTTGGAGAATTCATTGCACTCCAGGATCTTCTTTATATGTGGTCCAACGAAGACACCAGCTTTGACCTTTGCCTCAGACACCTTAGGGAAGAAGTCTTGAAGGTACATGAAGGCTGCCGACTACTTTTCTACAGCTCTGACAAATTGTTTCATCAGGCCCAATTTGATGTGCAGTGGTAGCATCAGCACCTTCCGACGCTTCCTCTAATTTGCAACTTGCACACTTTCATCCAACAAGTTCCACTGGTTGAGCCGAGACGTCAAAAGCTCGGCATTGAACTTGGTGAGATCAAGATCTCTGATCAAGTCGTTGAGGTCTTTTTGGTTGGGGTAGTATGGGTTTCTCTCCTCAGCTCCACCTCTGAAATTGTCAGCTGGATCTACGTCTTCCTCACTCTCTGACTTGCTGCTCTCTTCTAAAGACGGTTGCTATTTCTCTGGAGAAGTGGGTATAGGGAGCTCATGGCAGTGTGGCACCGGGGCGATGGATGAAGGAAGGTCCAGATATGTGATAGCAGGTGCATTCTTGCCAGTATGATGTTTGGAAGGGCCCACCATGCAGAAGTAGCAGTTGCTTGAATGGTCAATGGGTTCCCGCTAAATTCTTGGGATAGCAAACTTCATGGCTCTCTTTTCCCCTCTGTAGCATCCTACAAAAATACATTTATTTCAGC